TGAGGGAGAGACAAAAAGTACTAATATTAATACTAATAACAAATATATACAACTAGAAGAAGCAGTAAAAACCTATAGTAGTACTGATAGTAGCATTAGTACATAATCAGGAAACATGTATTGCCATAATATGTCAAACATACGAGGAGTGTGACTTGGCGATTGGTGTGTAACAGTGCAAGAGGAATAAAATATAATGCTATAATGCTACGGGTTAGTTAAATAAAGCAATATGTTCAAGTTAAAAATGTTTAAAAATAAAGGGAAGATAATGATCGCACCAGTACTGCAGTACTGACCCGGTAGCACTAGTACTGCAGTACTGACCCGGTAGCACTAATACTGCAGTACTGACCGGGAGAGGTAGCACTAGTACTGCAGCACTGACCCGGAGAGGTAGCACTAGTACTGCAGCACTGACCCGGAGAGGTAGCACTAGTACTGCAGTACTGACCCGTAGCACTAGTACTGCAGTACTGACCCGTAGCACTAGTACTGACCTGTAGCACTAGTACTGCAGTACTGACCTGTAGCACTAGTACTGCAGTACTGACCGGGAGAGGTATCACTAGTACTGCAGTACTGACCGGGAGAGGTAGCACTAGTACTGCAGTACTGACCTGGAGAGGTAGCACTAGTACTGCAGTACTGACCTGGAGAGGTAGCACTAGTACTGCAGTACTGACCTGGAGTAGTGGCCCCGGGCTTCTTGCTCTTGCCTTTGGGAGCCGGAGGAAGCAGAGCGACTTCTTCTTGAGGCATCTGAGAGACTTTCTGCAGGAAGATCTTCTCCAGGGCCTGCGCCATGAGGACGATGTCATCGGTGGGCTGAGACAGAGCGGTGAATGGTAAGTGGACTGTACTTGTATACGTTTTTCTGGTCTTCTGACCACTCAAAGCGCTTTAACACTACACCTGCTCACACACAGTGACACCTGCCATCAGTCACTAACATCCACACACTGCAGTCACAGCTACAGGAGCATTGTGGGTTAAGTGTCTTGGCCAAGGACACATGGACATGCGGGTTCGCCTGGCCTGGGATCGAACCGACAACCTTCTGATTGGAGGACGACCTGCTCCCCACTCACTAGGGCTGTCAACGAATATTCTATATTCAAATGTGAAAACCTCCCAAGACAACAGCAGTTTCGATCACTGAATGAAGTCTGACGTATGTGGGACAAGAATCAGGACATTAAACTGCTTGTTTATGGTTGTCCTTCATTTAAACCGGCGTGGGGGGGGACACAGACACAGACAGAGACAGAGAGACGTCTGCGGTCGTGGCCGTTAGTTAATGTACTTATTTTTGTGTAGGTAATATGTTGTTGTATCGGTTTAAAGTTAAATAGATGACATATACAAGCTGTATTCATTTGTCCTGTTATTGACGTGTCTAATGCGCAAACACAGAGTGTGAAGTAGTACCTTGTTGTAGATGTAGCAGTTGGTGAACATGGTGTTGAAGTCCTGCATGGCCTCACTGGCACTCCAGTAGTAGTTGTTCTCCAGACGTTTCTTGATGGTACCCATGTCCATCGGGTTCTTGATCACCTTGTGGTAGTCCTGAGAACAACCATGCTGTTAGCTTAGCATAGCACGGTTCTTCCAGGTGAGAACAAGGGGACAGGTACTCACTGCCAGGCAGAGCTTGATGGCGTCCACTGGCTGGTAGAAGGGCCAAGCGAACTGGTGCTTCCAGAGCGTCTTCACCACCACGTTCTGCATGTACTGCAGCTGGTTGGTCTTCCTGGTGGAGACAAACACACAGGCTGTCCTTCACTGGTCCTGGATCCGCTTTGTATGCCACTGATACCAATTATTGATCCATGTCAACAGATACAGGATATTCATTCGTTCTATAAACCAAACATACCGAATGTTATGCTCTCACTTAGAAAACACACAACTCAAAGACAAGATGAAATACTGGAGCTGAATCATCCGTTTAGATTTCACTGTGTTATAATGTGCTTAGAGTGAAGTTTATCAGCGGACCCTACCTGCCAGGTTTGGTGGCATTGGTGACCTCCGGGGGGGCCGGGTTGGTGAGGGTGGGGGGGCTGGGGGGCGCAGCCTCGGGGGCGTCCGACATGGTGGACGACTGACGCAGCAATGCACTGTGGGATGGCAGCGTTGGACCACCAGGTGAGAAAACGACTCCCTCTGGGGTCTGAGGGAGGTGTGTGTGGGTGTGTGTGTGTGTGTGTGTGTTTGTGCGGGTTCAGTTCAGGCGTTGTTGTTGATTCTTCAGCTCAATGTTTCTTTCGAGGAGACACACTCCCATTGCACAACCTGAGAGACAGAGACGGAGACGCTGTTACACGTCTGTCTTTCTGGAAACAAACACGTCAACTCATTGATAAGGCAACACCCCTAAACAACGTTATTGTTTTGACTCCTAGGAAATGACACGTGTTGTGTTGGATTCACTACACATCATGTATAACAATTATTTAAGATCCTGGGAGCTGCTGGCGGTTTGATCCTCTGATCAATACGTCTACCCACGTGATCTATTCATCGCTCAGCCGATGAAAAATGCTTTAGAATAACAGAGCCAAAGTGTGCCAGAACAAAGCCAGACGAGGTCACATGATGATGAGCAGCCAATCAAAAAAGCTCTGATCAGCTTTGATATGAAAATAAAATAAAAGCTGAACCCAGTTTCTCCATTGGAGTAAATTTAACATGACAAATATAATGGGATGTATTTTTACCGTAACATTAGTATCTTTACTGAAAAACAACAATTTCACAATTATCTTATAACTCAAAATCTCCCATATGACTTTAGTATTCATGTTGTGCTACACGTCACCTCGGAAGGAAACATTGTACTTTTTTATCTTAGATTAACAGAAATACACAACAAAGTTATAAAGAATTAAATACCAGCAGTATATCTCATTAAACTGAGCTCCGCCTTTAATGGATTCAAAATAGTAATAAATACAATATTTTGATAGTATTTGCTTTTACTTTTGGTACTTGAAATACAACCTAAAAGGTTTTCATGTAGCAGAGAATACTTGCACGCTGTGGTATTACCACCTAAACTGCAGTAGAGCTCACACACGAACCAGAACTCCAGAACCCGTCCAGAGCACGGGGAGTCCAGCCCGGATCAACAGATGTTACAGTCCGCCTGCATGCTGCGGTTCAGCGGCTAGCGAGCGAGCTAACTGCTAACAGACACCGTTGTGATCAACAATACTCCCCCAAATAGGGTCACCAGCGACCCGATCCACAACCAGCGACACCCGCCGTTTGACGAACTGCTTAAAGACACATAAAGCCTCGCGCTAACTGCTCCACCTGCTCAGGTGTGCGTGTTTTCTCAGGCTAGCGAAACATCCCGTTTCTCTCGCTTTAAAAAGATGGCGGGCAAGCCCAGGCTAAATGTAAGCTAGCTGGCTAGCTAAAGCAGCTAGGCTACTTACCGGAGACGTAAACGTCATAAATAGCGTTAATAGCCGTCGTGTTGGCGTCTGAGCGCGTGCAGAAGGTGATATCTGGACGGGTGTTTCGGTAACAAGCGGCTCACCGGGGCGATTAACGCGCTCACCGATCCGTTGCTTGCAGATGTTCCCGCTAGCTAATGAGCCGTTAGCCTGTTAGCTGAGCTTTGTCTGAAGGCGCCGAGCGGCCATCCAGGATCCGACACACGGCGACTCATCCCGTACGGCTCCTGCTCCCATTACCCGTTAACCGCACCGGTACCGGTCGGAGAGGGGATTCACTTTGTGGCTCGGTCCTCCGGGAAATCCAGCAGTGGGCTCCGGTACGTTTTATGGAAGATTTTTTTTTATTTAGCGAAGTAGCATAATAGATGAGTTATCAGCTGTCTCCTGTCTGCGCAGGCGCAGTGGCGAGCGGCATCACGGATGTTGTTGTGACCGGATTGGCTGGCTGGGGTTTGCGGGGCTCTCTGATTGGCTGTGGGATGGTTGCGAGGCTATGATTTGTCTCTACGGAATGTAAAGCGCTGTGATTGTTTGGGGATTCAGTCGGACTGCAGTGATTGGCTGACGCGATGAATGGACGGCCGGGATTGGCTGGTTAGGTACACTGGATCAGAATGGCGCTATCACAGGAACTACGTTTCCCACCATGCATAGCAGCAATAAAAAAGCTGTTTACATTGGTACAATAATGAATGTTTATATTGATACAATACCAATTTCTATTTTGATACAATAACGGGTTCATATTAATGAAGACCTTTTATTTAGAAGTCAGTGCAGTAATTGTGTCTGTCGAACACAAAAAGTATGAGATTTGGAACACGGCTCTTCTCTGAACTATTCACTGCATCACATCACATGTCATTTATCTGACGCTTTTATCCAAAGCGACTTACAATAAGAACATTTAACCATAAGGAAACAAACTCAGAAGAACAAGAAACAAGAAAGTGCATTTTCCTCAAATAAGCCGATGTACAACTTGCCGTAGATAAGAACCATTATAAGTCCAATGTAAGTGCTACAGTTAGTTAGTGTGTTAGTGGAGGTAGAGTGTGAAGAGGTGTGTCTTTAGTCTGAAGATGTGAAGGCTCTCTGTGGTCCTGATGTCTTCAGAGACCTCCTTCCACCATTTAGGAGCAGGACAGCAAAGAGTGGAGATCTAGTGGAGTGTTTTGCTCTCAGTGGGGAGGAACAAGCAGTTTATCACATGCAGAGCGGAGAGTGCGGGTCGGGTTGGACCAGGTCCTGGATGTAAGCTGGACCCCATCCATTCACAGCACGGTACGTGAGCACCATGTTTAGAACTGGATGAGCCACCGGTACCAGTGAAGAGAGCGGAGGAGTGGAGGAGTGAGGGAGAACTTAGGAAGGTTAAAGACCAGTGGAGCTGCTGCATTCTGGATGAGCTGCAGAGGTGGAATGGTGGTAGCAGGAGACCTGCAGGAGAGAGTTACAGTAGTCCAGGAGGGACAAGAGCTAGAATCAGTACCTCGTTCTGAGTGAGAAGAGGACGTGTACTCCTACTGTTGACATCTATGAGCGAGATGGATGGTGTTGTCAGTGATGTTGGAGTCAGGGAGAGTCGGCTGTCAAGTGTCACCCATTCTCTGTAGTGACCAGCAGAGGGCGACCAGTGACGTCAGGTCCTATAGACCAGAGGTTCTCAACCACAGGGCCGTGGGCCGGTACCGGGCCGCTCCACAGAAAGAATAAATATATATATTTTTGTAATTTGAAAAAATTGACCGGATTCTCTTGCGCCCGTTACTCTTGACATAATGCAGCAGCTCCACTGGCACTGACATTGGACTTATAATGGTTCTTATCTACAGCAAGTTGTACACTGGCTTATTTGATGAAATTGCACTTTGTTGTTTCTTGTTCTTCTGAGTTTGTGTCCTTATGGTTGAATGAACTTATTGTAAGTCGCTTTGGATAAAAGCGTCAGATAAATGACATGTAATGTGATGTAATTTCTCAAGAGTCACCAAGCGTCTCCATTGGACCATAAAGCAGGGAATGCTTTAGGGCGGGGCTACACAGTGATTGACAGGTCTCTAGACCAGATCAAACAAGACACAAAATAAGATGTCTGATTATCAAGAAGCTTTATTGTCTTCATCAGATTGAACATCATCATCTTCCTCTTCATCATCGTCACCATCATCATCCTCCTCATTATAGTCATCATTCTCAATATCCTCATCATCTTCATCATCACCATCATCCTCCTTACCACCACCACTACCATCATCACCATCTTCATCATCAACACCTGTGTGCTGGACGTCAGGAGGCTGTTAACATGCAGCTGAGCCGGGCAGACAGACAGGAAGACAGACGGATAACGGAGGAAACAGACAGACAGACAGAGGTAGGTCAGACAGAACGGACGCCAAAGGGGGGCAGAGAGGTAGACAGCTGGGCAGGTAGTCAAGTAGGGGAACAGACAGGTGGTCGTCAGGCAGAGACAGGCAGGTAGATATGAGGACTGTCTCAGGTAGTCACAGACAGACAGGTGGTCGTCAGGCAGAGACAGGCAGGTAGATATGAGGACTGTCTCAGGTAGTCGCAGACAGACAGGTGGTCGTCAGGCAGAGACAGGCAGGTAGATATGAGGACTGTCTCAGGTAGTGGCAGACAGACAGGTGGTCGTCAGGCAGAGACAGGCAGGTAGATATGAGGACTGTCTCAGGTAGTCGCAGACAGACAGGTGGTCGTCAGGCAGAGACAGGCAGGTAGATATGAGGACTGTCTCAGGTAGTGGCAGACAGACAGGTGGTCGTCAGGCAGAGACAGGCAGGTAGATATGAGGACTGTCTCAGGTAGTCGCAGACAGACAGGTGGTCGTCAGGCAGAGACAGGCAGGTAGATATGAGGACTGTCTCAGGTAGTCGCAGACAGACAGGTGGTCGTCAGGCAGAGACAGGCAGGTAGATATGAGGACTGTCTCAGGTAGTGGCAGACAGACAGGTGGTCGTCAGGCAGAGACAGGCAGGTAGATATGAGGACTGTCTCAGGTAGTGGCAGACAGACAGGTGGTCGTCAGGCAGAGACAGGCAGGTAGATATGAGGACTGTCTCAGGTAGTCGCAGACAGACAGGTGGTCGTCAGGCAGAGACAGGCAGGTAGATATGAGGACTGTCTCAGGTAGTCGCAGACAGACAGGTGGTCGTCAGGCAGAGACAGGCAGGTAGATATGAGGACTGTCTCAGGTAGTCACAGACAGACAGGTGGTCGTCAGGCAGAGACAGGCAGGTAGATATGAGGACTGTCTCAGGTAGTGGCAGACAGACAGGTGGTCGTCAGGCAGAGACAGGCAGGTAGATATGAGGACTCTCTCAGGTAGTCGCAGACAGACAGGTGGTCGTCAGGCAGAGACAGGCAGGTAGATATGAGGACTGTCTCAGGTAGTCGCAGACAGACAGGTGGTCGTGAGGCAGAGACAGGCAGGTAGATATGAGGACTGTCTCAGGTAGTCGCAGACAGACAGGTGGTCGTCAGGCAGAGACAGGCAGGTAGATATGAGGACTGTCTCAGGTAGTGGCAGACAGACAGGTGGTCGTCAGGCAGAGACAGGCAGGTAGATATGAGGACTGTCTCAGGTAGTCGCAGACAGACAGGTGGTCGTCAGGCAGAGACAGGCAGGTAGATATGAGGACTGTCTCAGGTAGTCGCAGACAGACAGGTGGTCGTCAGGCAGAGACAGGCAGGTAGATATGAGGACTGTCTCAGGTAGTAGCAGACAGACAGGTGGTCGTCAGGCAGAGACAGGCAGGTAGATATGAGGACTGTCTCA